TCGCGCGCAATTTATCAAAAGATCTTCCAACGCTTGTTTGGTAAGTCTTAACTATRCAATATATATAGATATTTCGTTGCCTAATGAGAAATAAACAGCAAAGCTATCCCCGCCATGTTGGATGAATAAACAACACTAAAGAAATGKGGAATTATATTATTGTAAAATGGCGGCTATACGGTGTATGCAATGGGATGGGGTGTGGTGTGGTGGGCTGAGGTGTCTGGATGTGGGTCTGGTTAGTTTTAAACATTAAAGGGACATGGTCCACCAGCATCCCTTTCGAGCTTTTGTTCATGTTTGAAAATAGAAATACATCGTAATATAAGCAAAAACTTACTCTTTATTATTCCTTTATACTATTTAAATGTAGATGCTTTAAGATTCGACCTTTAATCCGATTGATGGAAACGGATTGCGAATGGATATTCGAAGTCACCTCATTTTCCATATATGAAAAATCTAAAAGACGACCGCATTGCATGCTAGTGGACCATGTCCCTTTAACATAGTCCGAGAAAAGTTCACTTTTTTGATATTATTACGACATCTATTTCAGATCATGCTCGTTAATCTGGTTCTCACAACAGCGCTTTCCTTTACAATCAACGCTTACAACTTCCTGTTCCTTAATCGTTTTGCTATCTACCTCTGGTTTGCCCTTGTTCCCATGATCTGGAGCGTAACGCCGCTGACAGTAGCAGCGTGGGCAACAGAAACTTATAAAACCTACGTTAGTTCGGTGGTGAGGAGCTGGGGAGAGCATCCYGAATCGGACGAGAGCGAATCGGAAGGCGAGGAAATGGACGAGTATCATGAAGCAATGAAGAAGCTTAAGGTGAACCGATCTAGAAGCATGTTGATCGCGAGTACAAACTTACTAAAAAGCCTGCAGAGAAAGCGGCTTATATTGAAGAGAGATAGAAGACAATCTATTGCAGCRCAAAGAAGAGAGTCACTTGCTTTAACGGAAGTAGACGACGCACTTCCTGGAATACCCATGGAAGACCAATTCCAACCTTTACCAAATAACCTTCAGCTGCTACATACTACTTTTAACCAAAGAAGCCCTAACGTTATTTCACGTTTATACAACAACAATACGGACAAYAYGAACGTCCCAGGGACACCGAACAAGGAACGCAAGTCGAAATTCAAGTTTAAATCATATGTGATGTACCTACAAGGTCTAATACCCGGCGTCGGGTTCTCTATAGGTGGAATTGTACTAACTTGGGAGAAGGTGTCGAATCTAGCAATTCTACTTGTKTCGATATTAGCAGTTTTTATTCAAGAAATATTGTTCGGCAGTAGGAAGAGTACACTTCTTACGTGAAGAATTGCGGTAGTCTCAGCTAAGCCGAATCGATAGAAAAGGTATCGATTTAGCAATCCTATTTTTATCAAYATAAGCTGGTTTTATCGAAGAAACATTGTTTGGCAGGAACGAAAATGAGGACTTRCGTGGCAGCCTCAGGAAAAATMGACACTCAAGGGACACAAATCTAGATTTCTTAGKAAATGTTATTTGGCGGTTGGAAAAGACACTATCTTGGTATAAGCGATGCAGCAGTTTAAGACAATGATCAGTTTTACCGATCGACGCAAACGGAAAACGAGAATTTTTTTTTCTTCACATTAACCAGTGAGCAATTTCACTCGACTTAGACGTAGTATATCTCGCACGGTCTAATCACTTTAAAATGGTAAAAAAGAATTAAATAATAAAGAATGGAAAATAAAATTAATAAAAAATGAAAACAAAAAGTAACTAAGCAAACAAAAAACGACAAACAATCAAGAATTCCAATTTTTATTTGATATTTGATAACGAATTTATGTACAAAGTTACCTCATTCAAACAGTTCAAAGAGTAGAAAAAAAGTTACCCATTTCTAATTAAGTATCTTCAAAATAACAATATATACTTTATAGGGACTGAAATTTCAAAAAGTAAAATAAATTCAGTATAGATTTTCAAGCCTCGAAACGTTCTGGCTTACACTTAGTTACATTATAAAATTGTACTTCTAAAAAGGTCCTTAAAATCATTATACAATGAACTAAATTGTCACTTAGAGTTATCCATCGCTAGTATGTATAACTCAATTTAAATATTTGTATTATTTATTAAAGTTAATAAATACAATTTCGATAAAGAGTCAAGTCCCACGATGCTGTTATTGTCTGTTCCAAATTAGATTTACCAAAACATTATCGCGAAAACCTAATTTAAAATGATACACACTGAGAAACGAGAAAAAATACGCCAAAGGAACAATGAAAGATTTGAATAAGATAGTTTAATGTTATATTTTCGTTTGGCTTACCGAATTGAAACAATTTTACACGGTTCTTGCCGTGGGGGTCCGGAGGTAAGCGAGGGCGGAGGTTGAGCTCAAAGCACACTTGAACTGAAATACCTRCTCAAAACAATTATCTTRTTTTACAAATAACATTTGTTTCTATAAAAAACTTATAACGGAAAGTCTTCTTTCCACAGAAAACGKTTTTTGAAACAGGCCAATATTTCTTAAGACGCTCAATATTGAACTTGGGAGGCCATCTGAAAAATCATTCGTATTTTTGAAAGACAGATAGCCAACAACTTTTGACGTAACTGTCATTAAATTTCGACAAAATTGTTATATAGTATTGTACTAATAAAATGATAAATAAATAAATATCTACAAATTTATAAACAATATCTATCCTGTCAACAGGATATATATATGCCAAATGCCGCTCAAATGACAACATGACATCGGCATTTAGTAGCGAAATAAGCGAAAAAAATAGGCACAAGAAGAGGGTGGAGGAAATCTTTGAATTTCTATACTGAAAAGTGTAATACAGTTTACAATTGTAAGTCTCCCTATGCTTATTCTTACGCTTATTTAGCTCGAAATTTAACAGGAATTTATGGCAAACGATGTACCTCATGCCACCATCTTGCTTTCTTTTCTATTCAATGTCCATTTGTTGTAAGTTCTGACCACACGACGCACAAAGCCTTTTGCTGGCAAGTAGACGACTGATAAGTTCATCTCGTTCAGCAAGTTCTCTTTGTAAGTGTTCTTTTTCATTGACTTGTTCTTCAAGTTCCATGTCTTTCACCAAAAGTACGCTCTTGAGTTCCTCAATTTCCTTCGCCTGCATTTCAACAGTTTCGCCGAGCTTCTTGCAAACCTAAAAGATTATAACATYATGGTTTATTAATTGCTGGTTTTCTAGCTTTCAAATGCTATTTGAATAAAAGATAAGTCAATATTAGTGAAAACATTATGCTGTACCTCGCTCCTGTCCTTAACAAAATCCAACTTCAGGATGGATTCAGCAGTAGGCCGATCACACGGGTCCGCCGTTATCATTTCTGAAATCAACTTACTCTGAAAAACATAATAGATAAATACATATAAGTTAACAAGATGCCAATCATCTTGATGGACAGGTGTCAATCACCTTGATGGACAATCAACTAGTGGCCTCCTTGACCCTCTTGGGGGACTGGACTCGCATAAGCTCGACATTGAAGATAATTATCAAATAAGTTCCCCCTTTTAATACACTATTCTTAAGTAATTTGTACTATTAAAGTATTATTATAAAGATGTTTATATTATCATCAATATTAGGTTAACGCTTTTTAAAAAAAAAAAACGAAATTTCGATCCAAACATTTGTTAATAATCGTACATTACACAAAAACAACATACACAAAACAAGAAATGGTAAAGAGGTCTATGTTCCTCCAATCTACTACATTTATAACATTGTCAATGCTCTAAAGGCATTTCCAAAACACATWCTACATTGTACCTGTTTAGGCCATTTTTCTACGAAGTCCTCTGGTAAACGCCCTTGTCTCAAATTCTTGATGCACGTCACTCGCTCCATTTCAGTAGCAAAAGGATAAAACAGTTCAAACAGAATGATACCAAGACTGTATATGTCGGCCTATCAATACACAGATCAATGTTAATACAAATACGTGCTACTGTACATTTTCTTTTTAGAAACAGCACAAATACTTCTAYTTTCRCTTAGAAACTACCATCATGCTTTGCTGCATAAAATGGCGTCGCTGCTCATTGCCTATCAACACACTTCYTCTYGCCTTTACACAGGCAGCCCAACCATTACCCTGTATCATACTCACTCTGTTATCATAGTCACTGTTTCTCAGCTGCTCAGGMGAGGCATATGTGCATGTACCAACACCAGCAGTGTGCCCATCACGAGACAATGGTAATGCTAACAACAAATCAATATAATAACATTTAAGAATGTTAAGAATGTTAAGAATGTATACAAGCCGAGCAAAATTACTGATGTATATCCAGATATGTGCAATGGAGCTAAACAGCAAGTCACTATACATGTAGAGTTTATCTACAATCGTTGACAAAACCCTTTGACCATCCAGGAAATTTGCTCATTTTAAGCAACACCCACAGACAATTTAATCCCCCTAGCTAATCCCCTAAATGCAATGTGCTCATTGATCATGTTACCATAGTACACAAGCATCCAAAAAAGACCCAACATTGATGAAAGGGAGCTAAGGGGGAGAACTGTGAAAAAATAAAGGAGAAAAATGAAGACACTGATAATTCTATGCTCCAAGGTTTTTTGGCAACGATTGTAGTGCAGATTTAGTATGAAACTGTGCAGCAGTTTATTCATTTACTGACTGAATAACTGCACAAACACAGCATGCCCAGGAACTTTGCCTGGTTTTAACAGCAAAGAAAGGATGGATTTGAGAAAMGATCACAGCTATAATACAGAACAAGGCATTAAAGAGCTATAATTTTGTACAATCATAAGAAACCTAAACCTCAATGTCCACTAACAGCCTACCCCAACCTCCTGCATGGATACTATTGTTCATCCACCCAAGCTAATCGGCCAGTAGTTAAAAGATGTACACTATGTCCGTACTTACTAAACTTTGGATTCAATGGAGTGAGTGGCTCAATTAAAGTTGCYAGAGGACTTCCATTCTCAGGATATGCCACAGCATCCTTTCTTGCCAAACCAAAGTCTCCAATCTTGACTTGGAGGGGTGGGGAGATGTCTTCTTTGCGCTTTGTTAAACTTTGAAGGAAAATATTACGAGGCTGTAGAGAGAGAGAGAGAGAGAAATATAGATTTGATTCACAGCATGGATTCACAGCACAAATTTCCAGCTATTGTGAATAAACAGACTTCAAAATCAATAAAAAGCTATGTTACCATGATACGAACAATGGTGAGTTTACAGGAAAGTGAGTGAGTGAGTGAGTGAGTGAGTGGCAGATCAACCCCCTCTAGAATAATGCAGTTGAAAACCAGTTACCTTCAAGTCTCTATGCATAAGCAACTGTTGATGAATGTATCGAACACCCTCTAGAATCTGGCGAAATATAGTCATGCTAGCAGCTGTATCAATGTCTTCTCCTGAGAAACACAAGTAACACCATTCATTACAATGGATCACAATSAAATTTCCTTCTACCTATCAGCAATGCTTATCAGTGCTCATTAATAAGCCATACTCAACACTGCCTAAGGGACTGTTCATTTTTTATCAGGAAAAAAAGAAAAGAAAAAAAAAAAAACACCAGCCCCGCTTCCTGATAAAAATGAAAGGTCTGTAAATTCTGATGAATTTCACATATAAGCTATGTTTTCAGTAATAACAAAGATAGAGTCGTGGTAGTTTAGTTCTAGTCATTCTTTCCTAACATTACGACYCATTGTTGCAAGTCCAATTACATTGGAATCTATGCTTTATAATTACTATTATAAAAAATGGGTCAGAAACAAGTGGTTTCCCAAGTTACTGAACAATCAGTACAAAACAATAATTGGCAATTATGAAAAACATAAATAATCATCATACYTGTTTCAGCAATGTTTTCATTACGTCTTATTAACCAGTCTCTTAGAGTTGTGGTACATAGTTGCATCTGGATGAACAGCATCATTCCAAGTGTCTGATAACAACAATAATAATAAATATTTCAGACCATCTCTTCATAAAAATGTTGTTTTTATTAGTTGCCGTCATTTGTGTGGCTATATGCTAAAACATA